CCCTCTCTCTCTCTCTCTCTCTCTCTCTCTCGCTACTAAAGAAATAAAATCTTTTTTAAAATGTCGAAAGATCATAATACACAGAAAATAAAAAATATATACAATACGACCACAAGCTTGTTTAAGCCACTTGTTGGTCATGCTCAGGCTGTTTGTTACCTTCGGCAGGACACGTCCTAGCGGGTCAAGGTGACCTGGGCCGTGTACCATTACTTAGGGAACTTCCTGTCTTTGTCTATGATCCGGGACAGTTTATACATCACATAGGAACAGACGATGGAAACACGCACGCAGGGCCCGTTGTCCTAACTTGTAAATTAATATCTGAGTAGCTTCTTCTGTGGTGATTATTCTATTTGGGGTTCCTACCTCACCCGTTGTCTTCAGAACAAATGTGCCATTTTATTGATCAAATCTTCTCTAACTTTTCTATTTCATCAGCTCTATTCCCATCATTATCTATTTCTTCCTTCTATACATATTTTCTTTGCTGTTTGTTACTAGCGTATTGAGTTGAACGCTTAGTAGATTTTGTTTCAATCTTTCATATTTTCTGGAAAGTGCATCTAAGGTTATACACCGCTGTGGCCGTGCAGGGATTTGGGGCCCATCAACACCCCCGACACTAACCCCCCAGGCTGGGCAGTCGGCCGGCGGCGGGAGGGACGCCCGTCCCTGCTGCGGTCGGTCACGCTGGGTGCCAGACGCCTCGCACAGCCCCCCACTGCCGAGCATAAATGCATCTCGTGTGTGCTGGTGTGACGACAATGCTTTTACCCTTTTTGACTTTAAAGCGATTGTGATTTCCATTTTTCTTCCCTTTTGAATCCAAAATTATACAGAAAGGTTTTTTTGCAATTTCCAAGTGAAGATTCTTTCTTTTGCCTCTCAAGTCCTTTCAACCCAGGAATGTGGCCAGAATCATTTCAACTTTTTTTTTAAGATTTTATTTATTTATTTGAGAGAGAGAGAGAATGAGAGACAGAGAGCACGAGAGGGAAGAAGGCAGAGGGGGAAGCAGACCCCCCGCTGAGCAGGGAGCCCGATGCGGGGCTCGATCCCGGGACTCCAGGATCATGACCTGAGCTGAGGGCAGCTGCTTAGCCAACTGAGCCACCCAGGCACCCCTCATATCAACTTTTATCAGTTCCCCATGGGTGTTTGAAAAGAATGAATATTTCCATTTGGGAAGGACAGACAGGTAGATGATCGATAGATGGTCAACAGTAGATATATATTATATCAGGCTGGTTCGTTGTTATACATCCCCACTTTTGATATGTGTGTTTACTTGATCTCCTGATTTCTGAAAGCCTTTGTGGGTGCGTGAGGCTCCTGGACCCCAGGGGGCTGACCCCAACCCACCTGCCCCAGATGCCCCCCATGTGTCCTCCCCCCACTCACTGCCGGGCTGGCCACACACGCCCGATACAGAGCTCTCTGCAGCCACCTCGCATCTCCCAGACTCACAGACAGGAAGCCCTCCGAGGGCAAAGGGTGTCTGCATGGACCCCAGCCCTCACAGCGCCCACCACCTAGTTAATTAGGGCTGGATAACCAAGAAAGCATGTGTGCTTCCCAAATACCTTCTTGATCATCACTAATATCTATTTGGTGTTGATCCCCTGATTGAGAGCTCAGTCCTCCAAAGGTGTGATTAATACCGTGTTCCTACAGGAGAGCAAATCCATGAGACGAAGAGACGCCCATGAACGCTGCGTATTGGGAGCACAGCCACCGAGAGCACCTGCAAAAGCAATGATGTCATTGTTTTATCTCTCCCTGACTGTCCCCCAGCATGAATTGGGGCCACTGAGGGACAGGGTCCCTTTCACATCTGCTGAGGTCAGAATGTTCGTGTCCTCCCCAGACTCGCGTGTGGAATTCCTACTGCCTGATGGGACGGCATTCATGGGTGGAGCCCTCATGAATGGGATCAGCACCCTCATAAAAGAGCTCCCTGCCCCTTTCCCCAGAGAAGGGACAGAGCGAGGACATCTGGGAGCCAGAAGTGGGCCCTCAGCAGACACCTCACAAATCTGCCAGCCAGGATCTTGGACTTTCCAGCCCTTGGAACTGTGAGAAGTCAACTTCTGTTGTTTACAAGCCACCCAGTCTGTGGTATGTTGCTGTAGCCGCCCAAACGGACTAAAACAATATCCTTCTAAACAACCAAAATGCTTAGAAACAAAACATATGGAGCATAGAAGCGGGAGCCAAAGGAAGCAGCTTCTGCGGCCCTGGTCTACCTTCGCCTGCGGTTACATCCGTTCACCACGTAGGGATGAGTGACCCGAGGCAGCCCCGGGGAGGGAAGGGTCAAGGGGCAGACGGCTGAGCCAGGCTGAGTGTGGGAATGGACGCAGAGCCCAGGCCAGCACAGTCCCCGACTGCACGAAGCTTCACATGGATATAAGTTTACAAATGCAACAGGCCTGGGAGACCCCGAGGAACATCCTGGGCTGCCCGGGTTGGCTCCGCCCAGGACCACCTCGTCCCTGCGCCTCGGCCCTGTCGACCCACAGCAGGCATGCCATGTTCTCTCCTGCGGTCACCCTCCGTGAACATGGGACAGTGAGGATCCCCCAGCTGCGCTGTGACCTGTCACCCCCACAAAGCTGAGCAGAGGACACTCATACCCCACCTCCAGCCAGAGATGATTTTCAGAGCGATGGCAGACAGATGACGGCTCCCCACGGGAGGGCCCCAGCCATGAAGACTCAGCCCCGAAGTGGCGGGGGAGCAGGTAGGCTCTGGCTGGCCAGGTGACGATCGGTGGAGATCCTTGGGTGTGACCACCGCATCCTGGGACAGGGTTCCAGAGAACCTGCAGTTGCTGGTTCCATTCTGCTCAGACCCCTTGTGGGGGAAAATCATGGAGAGCTGGGGTGGCGAGAGGAACAGGGCCTCTGAAGGGCACGGGACCTGCCTGCTTGCTCTCTCTCTGGCCTCCCCCAGAGCCCAGCCCCACCGCTGGTTCCAGCAAGGGCGTGCTGGAAACAGCCCACATCCAAAGACGGCCCTGGAACTGGAGCAGGGCCAGCAGCCAGCAAGAGGCCTCCATCCGATGCTCCATCGGATGCCTCCAGAACCAGCACCAGCCCCCTCCCGGGAAAACCCAGCAGGCGGTCCCGAAACGCGCACAGAACAGGCCCCCAGCACCTGCCTGGCGGCCCTCCACCCGCCCACATCCGCCTGGCTTGAAGCCCTCGCAACTCTGACATTTTGGGGTTCTGGGGCGTCCCTCAGTCACTCCCCATCTGAAAAACGGGCGTGAGGACTTGTCAGCCCCAAGAGACAGGCCTCTCTCCGTATACCCTGAAATAAAACAGGAAAGCCAGAAGCGGATGACTCTTTACTCAGAGAAAGCACACACAGTACAGAGCTCAGCCAGCACGCAGCTCACGGGACCCCAGCCCAGAGGGGCCTGACTCACTGGGGCCTGGGAAGGAGGCCTGCGCTGGGGGCACAGACAGGAGGTCTCAGGCGGTGCCTGGCTGCCAGGGGACCCTGGCCTGACTCTCAGTCTGTCGGGGTTTTCCGTCCTCAGGCCGTGCATGGGCTCCCCGCCAGGAGGGCTCACACAACGCAGCAAGAGCCTACAAACACGGCGCGCACACGCTATGCATCCCCAGCCCTGGTGTGAGTGGGCTGGCCAGGCGGGGGAGGCCCAGGGCGGCGCCAGAGGGGGTGGAGCCAACCCGGGGGTGGAGTCAGGGCCAGCGCAGGAGGTGGAGTCAGGGCAGGGGGTGTGGTCAGGGGAGGGAGTGGGGTCGAGTTGGGAGGTGGAGTCAGAGCCAGACCAGGCGTGGGGTCAGGGCAGGAGGTGGAGTCAGGGCAGGGGGTGGAGTCAGGACGGGG